GGTCTAGGGTTTAGGGTTTCGGGTGGTTCTGGTTGCTGGGATAAGGGTCTCGGTGTTGAATCTAGGGATTAAGCTTTAGGTGCAGGGTGCTGAGATTTCGCTTATCTGAGCTGTCAGGTGCTTTTACGGCTTAGGGCGTAAGTGTCAAGCGTCTGGGGCTGTAAGCGTTCTGTACACCAACAAGGATGAAACCCTAAACAACATCTAATCAACTGTTTCCGGCTGCAAGCGGTCTTGAACTTCTTTTTATTCTGGACAGATCTTCGTCGTACCTTATAGCAAAAGCCAGAGCCCCTAAAACTGCAACCAGCACCCTAAAGCCCCAGGCACCCACACCGCAAACCCCCTGTGTCGACATCGCGAAATCCGCTACTGAGCTTTGAAGTAACCAGGGAGAAAAAGTATAGACTTGTATTTCATAATCGTTCCTTTAAGGAACCTGTCCCAAAAAAAGTATTAAAGCATGGTACTCCAAAGCCCAGGTTATGACTCTGACTGTACAAGAAGACATCAGGAAAGCACGAGACCTCTCCCAGCCAAAAACGAAAGAGCTGGCCCCCAAAGACGTCGAGATGCTAGAACCCTAAACCCTGAACCAGATGGCCCCAAAAAGACGTTGAGGTGCTAGAACCCTAAACCCTGAACCCTCTGGCCCCAAAGAGACGTTGAGGTGCTAGAACCCTAGACCCTGAGCCATAAAACCCTAAATGAAACGGCCGGGGCTCTGTGCATCGGGGGCCACGTTCGTGGTTTCCTCACCCGGGTCCTCGCCAAGCACCTGCAGCTCTATAGAGAGACTCCAATATTCGGGAGAGTATAGAACTTATCTGGGTTCTTGTTAAGGGATTTAATTTAAGTTGCGACAATAAGGAAACCGTATTATTATTATAGATCCCTATTATGGTAACTTAAATTAAATTCCTTAACAAGAACCCAGTTATCCTTAAATCCTAATTGGAGGCTCAGACGATTTAGGAAGTATCTTTACTGAGAGTTCTCCATACCCTAGCAGGGATCCCAATTTTTCTTACCTCTACAAAATACGCACTAAGCCCCCAAACTTCTGGATCGGGGACCAGCAATTAAGGGTTATTGGAATCTATCGAAAGATATTGAGGGGTTTGGTTTCAGTACTTTCCGACGACTTTTCTGGAATTGGGGTGTGGCTTCTATACAGTGTTGCTCGTTCAAAACTACCCATAAACTCACATCCACATGAATCTCTCTACAACTCCGCTGACCCTGAACCCTAAACCCCTTAACCTCTAAACCCCTAAACCCTAAACCCTAAACCCCTAAACCCCTAACCCCTAAACCCTAAACCCTCACCCCTGCCTGTCGTGCTCGCCTCGACTCCAGTGCACGATGCATGGCCGTCTGCGTAAAGCGGTGCGGCTTGAATCGCACCTCCGAGCCGCTCGGAGGTGCAATTCTGCTTTGCTGACGGTAAGCTAAATTTCATTTTAAGGGTTTAGGGTTTCGGGTTTAGGGTTTAGGGTTTCGGGTTTAGGGGTTAGGGGTTTAGTGTTTAGGGCTTCGGGTCTAGGGTTTAGGGGTTTAGGGTTTAGGGTTTAGGGGTTTAGGGTTTCGGGTTTAGGGTTTAGGGCTTCTGGTTTAGGGGTTCGGGGTTTAGGGTTTAGGGGTTTAGGGTTTAGGGCTAGAGTCGGCTACGAAACCACTGAATGTTGAGAAATGGTTCGAACATATTCAACTGCGAACCTGAGGGATTTCAAGTACTGAGCCCTCAAGCACGAAAAGCCCCAAACCCTCAACCCCTGAAAGCCTTGAACCACTGGGAGGTGGGGTTTAGGGTTTGGGTTTAGGGTTTAGGGTTTAGGCGCGTTGCTAGTCCAAACATCTACAATCTGCCGATTTAGGGATCAAGGTTCCGGCACAGGGCTATGTTTGACTACACCGCAATACCTCAAAAGCCTATTTATTTATGATGGCCCCCAGACTATAAGCAACATATCCCCGCAAGACCCCTACTGTGTGGAACCCCCGTCGTTAAAGGAACCAAACACTCCGTTCGACGAGCCTCGCAGACCGGACCAGTGTGCAAGAACCTCTTCTGGCAGTAAATCCTCAGCCTCAAAACCCCTAAACTAAACCCTGAACCAGCCTGAAGTATCTAAACCCGAAAAAGTAAACCTTAAACCCTCAACCCGGCCTAAACCCCCAAACCCTAAACCCTACACCCTAAACCCCAAAACCTAAAACCC